GGAACTTGTAGGCACTAAGCCGGATGAAGGTGAACCACCGCTTGAACAAATTCCGCTTCGGTTTGTTTCCTGAACTTTCCTTTTAAGTGAAGAACTTATAAAAAAATTTTAGTTGGATGGCACCCGAATGTCTGAAGCGTCCACAACTTTGGTCATTGAAGAGCGATGTTTGGAGCTATGGTGTGGTGAGTCTGATATAGCTCACAACCAATTATTTAGAGCTCTATTTGTTTAATCCCTTTTTCTTCGTATTTGATCTTCCCTGATTTTTGAAATTTTATATATAAAGCTGGCGAAAACGAAAGAAGCCAAACTGTCTGTTGAAAATTCTCCTGCTTTTAGCTTTAAGGCCGAGAACGCCATGATATTGCGCATATCGTTCTTATCTAGTACTTTTGCGATATTTGGAAAAAATAAGAGCATAGTTATTTCGCGGACGTTGAGAGACTGCTGGGTAGAACTAGGTAGTAGACAAGTGGTGTAAATGTTTGCTGGAAACGTAGATAATATAGCACCCAATTTATATGGACTTATACTCATTGGAATAAGGAGTCATACTTTGACGCAATTTTCATATGCGTCCATGGAAAACTGCGCCATCTTATTCAGTTTTGTATTTTTTGTCCCAAGTATGCGCTTAGCCCCAGGTCATCAAATCAAAAATCGCTGTTTTGCTCGGAGATGTTTGGTCGGCTTTGAAACTTGATTATAGTTTCCTGGATGAGGTCATTGCTGCTGTATTTAAAAACGAAGATGTTGAGGGCAAAATTATGTTTGACAGCACAACTCGCATCAATCAGAGAGGACTTGTTTTTACGCAGAGCATTTTAAAAAGAACATTGTGACTGCTGAATACATACTTATTCAGTTTATTATGATCCTAGAAACATTAGAATTTGTCGCGAATTCGTGAGGGTTACATTCCAAGCGTGTAACCTCGCACTAAGTATAGCATTCGCATTAGCGGTGTTAGTGCTACCTGCCACGGATATTGATACGATATCAATACACTAGTTCGCTGCCCAGTAGAGGCCCTAAGCTACCAACCAAGAAGTATGACCCCTCACGTAAGGTGTAAAAGCTCTGCCTTTAACCCTAGCGGCTCAAAAATCTATGTGTGTGCACAACCCTGTGTGTTTTTGTGTGTGCGCTACTGTATAACCTGTGCAGCCTCCCTCCGACTTCCACTTGATGTCAACGCATCCCGTGTTACAAAGTGTACCTGTGGTGTGCGATAGTATCTTACTCTTTTTCGCTGGGTATGTCCTTATCCTGTCTGGTATGTCCTCAAATCCTCTGCCTCCCATATGTGATCGTTTCCAATGCCGCTGTGAAAGATACTAATCAAGCCTCCACAATAAATACATATGCCCACTATTCATCCCACAATGAGAACACAATAATACAAATAAGGAGGGGGAGGCCAACAAGCCTATTCCTATAGGCCCGACAAATAGAAATTCCCGGCAGCTACGTTTGCCGCCTGCCGGGGACTCCTAGCTAACCCTTTGACCCGAAGCCCACTTCTACAGCGGCGAACCCTCTCTCCTTACTCTTAATCGATGTGTAATGACGACGCTTGTGCCACATGTGAATCACAACCGCTCCCTGGCGATGACAAACGACGACTAACTGTAGTTCCAGTAAAGTCAACTGCATTTCTTTTGCGATGCCCAAGGGTCCAAAAATAACGAGTGCGAGAATTTCCATGCGTATTCTGCTCGCTAATTTGCTGTCTCCACTTAAGAGAAAAAATTTGCTCATAGTAAGTTTTGTTAAAAAAAGCTTACTTACCTTTAAAGTACAGTCCCGCGCGTTCCGTCCACAATT